GCTAGCTCAATTAAGGAAATTCTTTCAGATTATAAAATTCATTTTGTATTTAATTTTGTTCTGCTGTAAAGTTTTTTTTTTTTTTTAATTAAAAAAAAAAAAAAAAAAAGTTTTTTTAGATGAGGTTTTGCTGTCACCCAGGCTGGAGTGTAGTGGTATGATCACAGCTCACTGCAACCTCAACCTCCCAGGCCCAAGGGATCCTCTTGCCTTGGCCCCTGTGGTATCCCTGCTAATTTTTGTATATATATATATATTTTTTTTTGTAGAGACAGGGTTTCACCATGTTGCCCAGGCTTTTAAAGACTATTTCTTCCTTTCTGTCTTTTTTTTTTTGGTTTGTGGGGATGGGGTATTGCTCTGTTGCTCAGGCTAGAGTTTAGTGGCATGATCTCAACTCATTATAATCTCTGCGTCCCAGGCTCAGGGAGTCCTCCCACCTCAGCCTTCTGAGTAGCTGGGACTACAGGTGTGTGCCACCATGCCCGACTAATTTTTGTCACGTTTTGTAGAGATGGGGTTTTGCCACATTGCCTAGGCTGGTCTCAAACTCCTGGCCTCAAGTGATTGCCTGCCTTGGCTTTCCAGAGTGCTGGGATTAGAGGTGTGAGCCATTGTGCCTGGCCTTTAAAGACTATTTCTATCCAAAGTTTGAGAATTATTTAGTGAAGAAGCCTAGATTCTGCTGTGGTTTAAATAAACTTACAGATATTGAAGTTATTAATGATCTATTATAGGGCTTAGATGATTATAGAAAAATATAATACAGTGTTTTACCAAATTGATAATAAGGAATACAAGTAAGTTTAATACTGAGATAATTTCATATTGGAAAACAAGCACTTTTGGGCTTCAAATTGATTGTATCCTGCATATTGACAGGATACAAATAAGTGATACCAGCTGTCTCCAACTGAAATACTTGATATACTTTTGATTGGTTTTAAGTTGTAAAGGTATGAAATACCAAATTTTGTTTTACAAGTAGGTGATTTGTTATCAGTGTTTTTTTTTCCATTCCCCTACGTTTATAGAAAAGTGTGGGTGCCTTACGACAACTTCTGCCTAACTCCCAGAGCTTCATCCAGCAATGTGTTCAGCAGACTTCTAGTGAGGTAGTCATTGCTACCTGTACTACAACAGTAACAACTTCTCCTGTGGTGAAAACAACAGTGTCCTCAAGCCAGTCTGAAAAGTCCTTTATTGTTTCTGGAGCAACAGCACCCAGAACTGTGTCAGTGCAAACTTTGAACCCGCTTGCTGGTCCAGGGGGAGCAAAAGCTGGAGTTGTGACACTTCATTCTGTGGGCCCAGCTGCTGCAACAGGAGGAACTACAGCTGGAACTGTTTTGCTTCAGACTTCAAAACCACTTGTGACATCTGTACCAAACACAGTGACAGCTGTCTCACTGCAACCTGAAAAACCAGTGGTCTCTGGAACAGCGGTAACACTGTCCCTTCCAGCAGTAACTTTTGGAGAAACTTCAGGTGCAGCCATTTGTCTTCCATCTGTGAAACCTATTGTTACTTCTGCTGGGACCACATCTGACAAGCCTGTTATTGGCACTCCAATTCAAATCAAACTTACCCAGCCAGGCCCTGTCCTTTCACAACCAGCTGGGATTCCACAGGCAGTTAAAGTCAAGCAACTAGTGAGTAACATTTTGTTTCTTTCTCATTTATTTTGAAACCTTTAAACATTCAGAAAGTTGGCAAGACCAGTAAAAAACTGGCAAGGCTGTATACTATTTATTGGTTTGACCAATTATTTTTACCTCATTTGCTTTGTTTTTCTGTTTCTACTCCCACCTACAAACACACCCATAAGTCCTTTTTTTTTTTTTTGGAGGCAGAGTGTCGTTCTGTTGCCTAGGCTGGAGTGAGTGCAGTGGCACGATCTCAGCTCAGTGTAACCTCCACCTCACAGGTTCAAGGGATTGTCATGCCTCAGCCTCCTGAGTAGCTGGGATTACAGTGGTACTCCACCATGCCTAATTTTTGTACAACTAGTGCTCGACTTACGACCACGATTGGTTCTGACAGGCCGGTCGTAACACGATTTGGTCATAAGTTGAGTAGGCTATATGTACAGTTGAAATGGTGCACGCGAAGATGGTAGTGCTGCTGGAAGCTGGTCCGCACTGTCAATATGCCCAGCTGGGCAAGTTTGCACTGCCAGACGCAGAGCAGTCGTGGCTAGCAATTGTGGTCGTAAGTTGCATAGGTCGTAAGTTGATCAATACCTGTATTTTTGTTAGAGATGGTGTTTCTCCATGTTGGCTAGGCTGGTCTTGAACTCCTGGCCTTAAGTGATTCACCCACCTTGTTCTCCCAAAGCACTGGAATTAGAGACAGGCATGAGCCACCATGCCCGGCAGCAAACACGCACATAAGTTTTTACTGAACCATCTGAGATTGGTTAAAAAGTTATGACAATGCACAGTGGATGTATCTCCTTAAAGGGTTTTTTTTTTTAAAACATAATCACAACTTATCTGTCATCACACATAGGAAATTAATATTGGTACAGTATTTCTGTAGCTGTCCCAGTAATGTCCTTTTATTTTTTTTTTTGGTACAGATAGGGTCTTGCTTTGTTTCCCAGGCTGGTCTCAAACTCTTGGCCTCAAGTGATCCTCTTGACTTGGATGTCCCAAAGCATTGACATTACAGTCGTGAGCCACCACACCTGGCTACTTTGGGCTCATTTAATCTAGAATAGTTCTCAAGCTATTTGTGGTTGTTTATTATATTGTAATGTTTTAAGTGCCCAGAATATTTGCAGAATATTACTTTGTTTTGTCTGATTGTTGTGTTTTTTGCTAAACTTGGTAAGTTGGGAGGTTTTTGGGTAAAAAAATAAGGGCATTTTAGCTGTTTGTCGATTAGTGTTTAGAATGTTCTTCTTTATTCAGGATAAGTTTTACCAGAAAACTATGAAAGTATTGTTAATCCATGAGAGATAACTACATGGTGCATTAATTAAAAATGATGATGTTTTTAGTAAAGTTCTTCCCTATCTTTTATGATAACAGAGCTTGCTGTTCTTTTGGTGATTGTCCATGTTCTCTTTTGTAATGCTTTGCATTAGAGGCTGTGTTTTAAGTCTCTGTTTTGGTTCATTTTGCTGCTTGTGTAGCCTTTGTAGCCTTGTTTATGTGATCAGAATAAGAGGTATCTGAATGATTGTCTTCTCAGGCAAGAGGGCAAATTTGGACATAGAGCAAAAGGAGTTGATGAGTGACCAGAATTAGAGAGTATTCGAACTCTTGAGCAGATAAAGTGATGGTCATTTCCTGGGCACTAATCTTTTCTCCTCCCTTCCCACTCAGTGTCTCATTTTCAAATGGAGAAATGTAACTGCCTTGCAGGGTTTCTCTTGGAAATTTAATCTCAGAGATGAAAACAACATCTTTAGAAGTGGTGATTCTTAAACATTGTTCTGGGCAGCCAGGTTTAGGAACCTCTGGAACAGAGGAACTGTACCAAGGAAAGGCCTCTTTTTGGTAGCACTGAACAGAATTGAAATGCTCTTTATGTGTCATAGTTGATTCTTGAATCACCGCTAATCTTTATTGAGCATCTATGGCAGATAGGTCCCTGGGGTGAAATAATACTTTATAGCTACATAGTTTTAAAAACATGTCATTATGTGCTATGGATTTTAAACTTATTTTATGATAGGTAGGGAGAAAACTAAGAATTCAGAAATTCTGAGTTGACTTATCCCATAACAGTCAAGTGGCTGGGCGTGGTGGCTCATGCCTGTAATCCCGGAACTTTGCGAGGCTAAGGTAGGCAGATCACCTGAGGTCAGGAGTTCGAGACCAGCGTGCCCAACATGGCAAAACCTCGTCTCTACTAAAAACAGAAAAAATTAGCTGGTCGTGTTAGTGGGCACCTTTAATCCTAGCTACTTGGGAGGCTGAGGCAGGAGGTTCGCTTGAACCTGGAAGGCAGAGGTTGCAGTGAGCTGAGATGGCGCCACTGTACTCCAGCCTGGGTGACAAGAGCAAAGCTCCCTCTCAAAAACAAAACAAAACAAAACAAAAAAAACAACAACAGGAGTGGATCTCGGGGATCTCAGACTAGAGACCAGATGACTTTTCCATTAAGGGTTTGGTGCTCTTAGAAAGAATTTTTAGGTTTCTGGAATGTCCTGAAGCAGAAATCTATCTCATATAATATCTTGACAGCATTTTTGTTTTGTAGGTTTGACTTGTTATACATTATAAACCATTTCACTAAAGAAAAAATGTAACAAAATCTGATGGTAAATTTTAGTGTTTTTTACTTCCTACTTTCATTCTTTAAGGAATGTGAAATAATTTAATTTTCCCTGTGAATTCTGCTTTCTTAGTTTGTCCTTTGTTTCAAGTTTAGCCGGTAAATTTGATGTGAGTATTTACACCTACCTATTTAAAACAGCAAGAGCCAGAATCACCAGACACTGAAGAGACATTGTAATTTATTTCACAACAGATTTACCTGGAGCAAAACAACATAAACCATTCTGTATGGTAATGCCATAGAGAGGATTGAACTAGGGCATTCTTTCAAATAAACTAAGTTAGAAAATTAATATTACTCGAGTTTGAAAGTAATTAAAGAATACCATCAGTGAATCCATTATAAACCAAAGTCCAATTTAAACTCAGATCTAAGTGAGGAGGAAAACAAGGTGCTAGAAAATAACGTATTCTATGCATCCTATAAGAAATATGGCAAATAATAATTTAAAATATAAAAATCACTGCACTGGATCAAATCTGTGGTTCATGTAACTCCATATGGTCTGAAGAAGACACACTTCCTTTAACAATCATAGATTTTAAAATTCCTTCTTAATGTTTATTTCTCATTTGTATTCTTTTTTTTTTTTTAGACGGCGTCTCACTTCTGTCACCCAGGTGGTTAGAGTGCAGTGGCATGATCATGGCTCACTACAGTCTTGACTTTCTGGGCTTAGAGGATCCTCCCACCTCAGCCTCCTGACTAGCTGGGACTGCAGGAGCAGGCCATCATACCTGGCTAGTGTTTTTGTATTTTTAGTAGGGACAGGGTTTCGTCATGTTGCCCAGGCCAGTCTTAAATTTCTGAGCTTGAGTGATCTGCTTAATACTGTGGTTTTATGTGGTACTTTAATAAATTCTCTTATATTATTACTCATTCTGTTTTTCTCAGCAGATGTACAGGAATATGCCTCCTATATTTTTGTTAGACTAGACACATGTATTGTTCCAAGTGTTAGAGTCATTAAGACAAGAAGTGATGGGGATCAAAGGTTAAGTCCCAACTCAAAAATTTGTTTTACATTTTTGTGTACTCATCAAAAATGGTATGAAGACCAACTGGTGTCAACCTACATTAACAGAGAGGCTTTCTAAAAGATTAAGATACTTAATTGGGGAATAGAGCATTGCAATGGGAATACAGGTGCCATAGTAAACTGTGTATATTCAGGGAGGTGAAGGAAGACAAAGGTTTTTTTAAATTTTTAATTGTTAAAGGCTCAGGGTCTTATTTTGTTGCCTAACTTGGAGTGCAGTGGTGCCATCATGGCTCACTGCAGCCTCGATCTCCTGGGCTCAAGCAATCCTCCTACTCAAGCCTCCTGAGTAGTTAGGACTGCAAATGCATGCCATCGTGCCCGGATAATTAAAAAACTTTTTTTTTTTTTTTTTTTTTGTTAGAGACAGGGTCTTGCTATATTGCCCAGTCTGGTTTCAAAGTCCTGGCCTCAAGCATTCTTCCTGAGTAAAGGAGAATAAAAGGAAAAATGAGGAGAATTACATAGTTGTTTTTGAAATGATTATTCTTGACTAATAAAGCTCAGTAACAAGGGTGACACCAGTCCATGTTTAAATAGGCAGTTGCTGAGCAAATGATGTCCTTGCGGAAGTATTTTTTGTGTACTGTTGCTGTGGCCTTTGTGCAAGGTTGTGGTTTTGGCGGTCTGTTGGGATAGTTTTCGTTATTACGCATACAAGCATGAGAGCCCTCTCTTCTTAGTCTTCCCTAGCACTATTTGTCAGAGTTTTTGTTTTTTGTTTTCTTTCAAACACAAGTGACTTCATTTTGATTCTGATAACTTTCACACTGGTAAACTCCAATAAGGAGCATCAAAGGAGCATCAAGGAGGACAGTGCAGATAATAAGGAAATAAGCTGGAATTGTTGGGCGTTTCTCTTGAGTTTCAGTCTGAATGCATAAAATGGGACCTGTAGATTGCTTTGTATAGTTTAAACCTGATCTCTAGAACTACGGTACATGAATATGATCTAAGCTTCATTGAAATGTATTATTTTAAAAAGAGTCCTTGGCTGTTCTCAGAGAATAAAGACAATTGAATTATTCTAACTAATATTTCTTCTTTAGGGGCATTAGTTGCTATAGGATTACTTACCAGGACATGTTGTGTTTCTTGTTACTTTTTGTAAGTAATACGCATCAGACTTTTAAATTTTATTTTCAAAAAACTTAGAAAATTGAATAAATTGAACTCCAAAAATTCTGTTTAGAAGTCTGTCTCTTGGCAAGACCGTGGCATATTTATATTTGCCATACATGAGTTTAAGTTATAAGTTCGCTATCAATACCTAGCTGAAAAACATGATGACTATTTTTCTGCCTGTTTTGTCTTGTTTTTTGAGACAGGGTTTCACTCTGTCACTGAGGCTGGAGTGCAGTGGTGCAATCTTGGCTCACTGCAGCCTCCGCCTCCTGGGTTCAAGTGATGGTTTAAGAAAATGCTTTAGGCTGGGTGTGGTGGCTCATGTCTGTAATCCCAGCACTTTGGGAGGCCAGGGTGGGTGGATCGCTTGAGGTCAGGATGGCCAACGTGGTGAAACCTCGTCTCTTCTAAAAATACAAAAATTAGCTGGGTGTGGTGGCACGTGCCTGTAATCCCAGCTACTTGGGAGCATGAGGCAGGAGAATCGCTTGAACCCACGAAGCAGAGATTGCAGTGAGCTGAGATGCACTGCACTTCAGCCTGGGTGACAGCAAGACTCCGTCTTAAAAAAAAAAAAAAAGAAAAGAAAATACTTTGTTAAAATGGCACAAAAAAAACTCTTATCTTTTAGAGATATATTTTGAAATATTTATGGATAAAATGATATATCTGAGATTTGCCTTAAAATAATTGAGGGTGGCGGGGAAGTGGGTAGGGGCGTAGATGAAACTAGATTGATCAAGAATTATTCATTGTTGAAGCTGAGTGATGGCGTAGGTTTTTTTTTTTTTTTTTAATCCTGTTTGTTTTTGAATATGCTTTAAATTTTCCACTATAAGCTAACAATTGGAAATAGGATTTACAGGGAGATTTAAATTGAGCATTGTGAAATAAAATTTAAATTCCACTCTAAAAATAATGTATGTGAGATAGTAATGTTTTTTCTTTTGAAGAAGATAATTTTGCTTCATACAAATTTAAAGTAGAAATTCTTGTTATACTAAGATAAAGGTATATTTATGGCTGGGTGAACACAATTTGTTAAAACTGAAAGCTTGTTCTTTTCTAAAGCCTTAAGTTGAATGACTATATTGATAGTTCTCATTGTTTCAGGTGGTTCAGCAGCCGTCAGGAGGCAATGAAAAACAAGTGACCACACTTTCACATTCCTCTGCATTGACTGTTCAGCAATCTGGACAGAAGGCGATGCCAGTGAACACCGTAATACCTACCAGTCAGTTTCCTCCAGGTAGATGCTGATCCATCTCAGTCTCATCACATTGGGTTAGAACATGGAGGGGTTTTGTATAACATTTTTGTTGCTGTGTTAATTGAAGAGAGATTTGGTCTTTTAAAGTCGGCACCTATGAGAGAAAACAGAAAGATAATGATTAGATTTCTCCCCTGTGCCATCCCCTGCTGTTGGAGTCTTGCTCTATTGCTCAGGCTGTAGTGCAGTGGCACAATTTCAGCTCACTGCAACCTCTGTCTCACAGGTTTAAGCGATTCTTGTGTTCTCACCCTCTCGAGTAGTTGGGATTGTAGGCATGCGCCAGCACACCCAGCTAATTTTTGTATTTTTAGTAGAAACTGGGTTTCACCATGTTGGCCAGCTGGTCTCAAACTCCTGACCTCAAGTGGTTGATCCTCCCACCTTGGCCTCCCAAAGTGCTGGGATTACAGGCATGAGCCACTGTGCCCAGCTATGATTACATTTCTTTTTACGTACATAGACACTTTTTAGGGTTACAGATATTGATCGACTTACGACCTATGCAATTTACGACCATTCGACTTTACGACCACAATTGCTAGCCATGACTGCTCCGCGTCTGGCAGCGCAAACGTTGCCCAGCTGGGCGTACGACAGTGCGGACCAGCTTCCGGCAGCACCACCATCTCCGCGTGCACTATTTCAACTGTACATATAGCCTACTCAACTTATGACCAAATCGTGTTATGACCAGCCTGTCAGAACCAATCATGGTTGTAAGTCGAGCACTAGCTGGATATGTTGTTTTGGAATAAAAAAAAAAGCAACTATTCATGGTATTTTGTAATTTGATAAAATAATCTATTAGTAAATAAGAACTTTTTTAACTTACAAAGTTTGCTATAGCCTTTTTTCTTCTTAAAATGTAGTTCTTTCTCTATATATACACATGTATGCATGTACAGCTAGTGCTCGACTTACGACCACTGTCGGGACCACGGACTGGTCGTAACACGATTTGGTTGTAAGTTAAGTAGGCTATATGTACAGTTGAAATGGTGCACGCGGAGATGGTAGTACTGCCGGAAGCTGGTCCGCACTGTCGTACACCCAGCTGGGCAATGTTTGCGCTGCCAGACGCGGAGCAGTCGTGGCTAGCGATTGTGGTCGTAAAGCCGAATGGTCGTAAGTTGCATAGGTGGTAAGTCGATCAATACCTGTACATACATACATATGTATGGAAATCAGTCTTACCCAAGTCAGGTAGACTGGGAAATTAGTCTTACCAATGTCAGGTAGAGTTTTATGTGTTTTTAAAATACACCAATATGAGTAATACGTTATTAACATGTTTCAGGTACCTTTTACTCATGATATTTTTATAATACTGCTAATTGTATAGACTATCTAAAAAGAAGTGGAAAGATTCTTATTTTATAATATTTCTTATGCAGGGAATAAATTCATTGTCATGTTTGAATTTAAGCATAGTTCTAGGGCAGCTTGAAATTTTCTTTGATTATTCTATGTATACTAAAAACTGTTGTCCTGGATTTTTCCTAATGTGGTGTGATTGCTTTTTTTGCATTCTACTTTTTCTTGTTTTGCTTTTATAGCTTCCATTCTAAAGCAAATTACTCTGCCTGGAAATAAAATTCTGTCGCTTCAAGCATCTCCTACTCAGAAAAATAAAATAAAAGAGAATGGAACAACATGCTTCAGGTAAGGTAATAATAGTTAAATTTGGTTTAAGGAAGTAATTTTTTTAAAAAAGGAGAGATGACAGAATAATAGCTTAATAAAATAGATATATTAATGCCTTTTAAAAAAGCTAACAGTACTTTATTGAGTATAATTTATTAACAATAAAGTACACAACTATTAAATGTATAGCTCAGTGAATTTTGTCAAATAGATACACCTGTGTAATCATCATGTCAATCAAGTTACTGAATATATCCATCACCTTTATGCACCTTTGAAATCAATTACCCTTATCCCCTGCCTCTGGCAGTTACTGTTCTTATGTCCATCACCATAGATCATTTTTGTCTATTCTTGAACTTCACATAAATGGAGTTTTACATTATTATGTACCCTTCTGCACCTGACTTTTTTACTCAGCATATTTTTTAGATCATCTGTGTCATTTTGAATATTAGACAATGGTTCCTTTGCATTGCTGAGAAGCATTTTATTTTATGAAATTAAGTTAGTTGATCTTTTTTGTTATTGATGGACATTTGGGTGGTTTCCAGTTTTTCTGATGATTATATAATAAAGCTTGACATACAGAATTTTGTGTGAAGATAGATTTTTACTATCTAGATATATGATTGATGAGTCATTAGGTCAGTATTTAGCTGTGTAGGAAACTACCAAACTGTTTATCAAAATGACTGTTATTTTGCATTTCTATCATCGATGAGAATTCCAGTTCCTCTCCAACTTTGTGAGCACTTGGTAATTCTCAGTTATTTAGATTTTTTTAAAACCATTTTAATAGGTGTGTAAGTGGTTATTATTGTGATTTTAATTTGCATTTTTCTAATGGCTAAAGATGCTGATCATCTATTTTGTGCTTATTTGTTATCTGTATATCTATGTATCTGTTTTGAAGTGTGTGTTCAATTTTTTTTGCCCATTTTTGTTTCTTGCATTGTTTTCTTATGATCTAGAGGTTTTAAGAGTTTATATATATATATATATATATATATATATATATATATAAATAAACAAATGTTATACAAATGTTATATATAATGTTATATTTGCATATATATTTATATATTATAAAATGTATTAAATATATTTATGTATATTTGTATATATATACATATACACAAATATATAAATATATAAAAATATATAACATTTGTATATATATTTGTATTATATATTTATATATGAACATATATTTATATTAAAACATGTTTGTATGTATACACAAATATAACATTTGTATATATAGAAATTATGCCGTTGGGGGAAAGTAGATAAAATAGAACATGTTACACAGTAAGTTTTATATAGGCAGTAGATGGGAATTAAAGGATGACAAAAAAAAAGGACAAGCCTGAAACTGGATATCTTCTGGAATAAAGCATAGGAGAAAATCTTTGTAACCTTGGGATACACAGGTTTCTTAGATAAAACACATGAAAAGAACAATCTACAAGAGGAAAAATTAACGAATTGGAATTCAGAAAATTAAATAACTTTTGCTCTGTGAAAAACACTGTCTAGGGAATGAAGAAACATGCCACGATGAAAATACTTCCAAATTGTTTATCTATCTGGCAAATATGTGGATCTTAAATATATAGAATATATATTATATATATATATATATACTAAATATATATAATTTAATTGCATAATTTATATATATTTCAAATATAACAGTTGTATAAAATTTGTACCTTTGTCTTCCTTCTTCATACCTATGTACATTTTATTTGTAGGTCTACTTTTATATGCATATATTAAAATGTTCACCTTCAGTCTTTTTTTCTGAAATGTTCGGTCATCTCTTGGTTGGATGAAGTTCATCTGCTGGCAAATTCTTCAGGAAAGACTCATAGGTGTAGAATTCCCTAAGTCAGGAGTCCCCGGTGTTTTTGGCACCAGGGACTGATTTCATGGAAGACCATGTTTCCACACATCAGAATTGAGGGGTGGGGATAGTTTCAGGATGAAACTGTTCCATTTCAGATCATCAGGCATTAGATTCTCATAAGGAGCACACAACCGATCTCTTGTATGTGCAGTTCACAATAGGGTTTGTGCTCCTGTGAGGATCTAATGCCACCGCTGGTCTGACAGGAGGTGGGGCTCAGGCAATAATACTCGCTTGCCTCCTACCTGTTCCTGTGCAATTCAGTTTCTAACAGGCCACAGACCACTACGGGTCCATGGTCTGTGGGTGGGGGACCCCTGTCCTAAGTTGTTGTATGTTCAAACTGTTTTTCAATTTTTTCGACATTTGAAAGACAGCTTGGCTGGCTATGAAATCAACACTTCTTGTATTACATTTTAAAAAAAAGTTGCCTCATCATTGTCTTGTTTTTATTTGATCTTTCTGTCTGAAGGACTTCAGGATTTTTTCATTTTTGAGATCTCATTTTGCACTAAGGATATGTTGTAAAGGTGGTTGGTTTGACATAATTTTCCTCAATTCCCATTTGGCCCTTTCAGTACGTATATTCTAGTCTTTGTAATTTTTGGAAAGTTTTCTTGGATTATAGTTTTAAATATTCGTTCTTGTTCACGGTTTTGTCTGTGTGTGTGTTTTTTTTTTTTTCAGGGATTGTAATAGTGTGGATTTTAGTCCTTTTGCCTCTCTTTCATTCCTATTACTTTATCTCTGACCCTTTTATTTACCCTTTATGCCATTTTTCCCTTGTTTTTCCACCTTTCTTCAATGTCTCTTTTATTAAAAGTGTTGTCTGTATCTATTTGCCCTAGAATACCTGTTTGGTTATTTTTTGTCTTGCAGCACTCTAAATTTTCCCCTTTTGCATTTTCTCTGCTTCCAAATGGTTCCCCTTTTTCCCTATTATTCCTTCTAGGAATCTACACATTTTAGTCTGCCAATTTAAATTGCATGTAGTCCGTGCTTTGATTTATGGGAACACCTTTTTAGTATTTTCTGACTTGGGATGTATTTAGTCTTATGCCTACCACTAGCTCTGCCCTGACTCTCTTTTTTGCAGTTTGTTTTCTGTCTGGTTTTGCCTGCAGCGAGCCTTGAGTCATGGTGTGGGTTGGTGAGGGGTAGGTAGGGTTGAGAAGATGAAAAAGTTTACATGGGATTTGTTGTTTTTTCTTTATAGATAGTTTGGGTATTCTGGAAAACAGTGATCTAGGCAGTCATCATCATCTTCCAGTTTAATGAGTCTTGAGAAAAAGCTAAACCCATGTACCAAGTATCACTATCAGAATACTTGGAATATTTTCAATACCCCGAAAGATTCATTTGTGTCCTTTACCAGGCAGTCCCCACATTACATCTCAGGTTCTGGACAACCACTGATCTGCTTCCTATCACATAGTTTGGATTTGGATTTGCCTTTCCTAGAATTTTTCATAAGTGGCATCTGTCAGAATCAAATTAAAAATGTAGTGGTAGGCGGGGCACAGTGGCTCATGCCTGTAGTCATAGCACTTTGGGAGGCCGAGGCGGGTGGATCACTTGAGGTCAGGAGTTCAAGACCAGCCTGGCTAACATGGTGAAACCCTGTCTCTACTAAAAATAAAAAAATCAGCACAGTGTGGTGGCACACACCTTTAGTCTCAGCTACTTGGGATGCTGAGACAGGAGAATCGGTTGAACCCTGGGAGGTTGCAGTGAAATTGCACCACTGCACTCCAGCCTGGGTGACAGAGCGAGACTCTGTCTCATTAAAAAAAAAAAAATATGTAGAAGTGAGTCTCTAAATTTAACATTTTATTTGGGAAGAAAAAATTGCAGTTCAAAGCATACACACAGACCAAGTCGTCTCTGGTGTGCCCAGAGAACAAAGAGAAGGCTGGAAGTTGAAAAAGAGAAATGACATGAATTGCTCTTTGAGAAAATTCATTGGCACTTTTACGGTTCTGGGGAGCTGGTCAGCTCTGACTGATGTGTAAAGGTAGTGGGTAAAGTAGTGCTAGAGTTGCAGCAAGTTATCTCAGCAGTTTTAGATTAAACTGGTCTCAGGTTACAACAGGCAGTTTCAGCAGCTGGACTCGCAGAGAATTACATTCTAGAGCAATATTTTTGCCCTGAGTGCTTTTACCGACCCCTTGGCTTCTCTGCTCTGTTTTAGTTTGGTATGACATGAGTGACCCAATTCATATAATCAATTTTTACACATCATACAGTTTGTATTCTTGTGTCTGGTTTCTTTTACTAGCGTAGTATGTTTGATATACAGCATGTTATATGTATCAATAGTTTCATTTTTTTATTGCTAAGTAATATTTTATACAGGTATATTGCTTTTGTTTGCACTGAATTGATATTTGGGTTATTTACAATTTTTGGCAATGATAAAATCTTGCTGGGAAGACTTGCATCTATATTTTTGTATGGACATAGATTTTCTTTTCTGTATATACATAGGAACAGAATTGCTGAGTCATATGGTAGGTGTATAAGCATATGTTTAACTCTTTAAGAAACCCCCACACAATTTTCCTAAATTATACCATTTTTCTTTCTTTTTTTTTTTTTTTTTACTTTATTTTACTTTAGGCTCTGAGGTACATGTGCAGAACATGCAGGATTGTTGCATAGATACCCACATGGCAATGTTGTTTGCTGCCTCCATCCCCGCATCACCTACATCTGGCATTTCTCCCCATGTTATCCCTCCCTGACTTCCCCACCCCCTTCATTGTCCCTCCCTTGGCCCCCCCGACAGACCCCAGTGTGTAATGCTCCCCTCCCTGTGTCCTTGTGTTCTCATTGTTCAATACCCGCCTATGAGTGAGAACATGCAATGTTTGATTTTCTGTTCTTGTATCAGTTTGCTGGTTTCCAGATTCATTCATGTCCCTAAAAAGGACATGAACTCATGATTCTTTATGGCTGCATAGTATTCCATAGTGTATATGTGCCACATTTTCCTTTTCCATTCTATCGTCGATGGGCATTTGGGTTGGTTCTAGGTCTTTGCTATTGTAAACAGTGCCGCTGTGAACATACGTGTGCATGTGTCTTTATAATAGAATGATTT